ACGTCACCCAATTTACGTCGCAAACCACAAACACCGACATTGTAAAAACGCGGTGGCAGTTTCATAAATAAGTGGAGACTAATTTACGTCGGACCCCCCATAGACCGACGTAAATTAGGTAATTTACGTCGGGGCCCTCTAATTCGACGTAAATTTACGTCGGTCCCTCTCTAGTCCGACGTAAATTTGCGTTGGACCCCCCCACTGCCGACGTAAATTTACGTCGGAGACGCATAGTACGACGTAAAAAATTACACTATATTCCCCAACTTACCATTTTCATTCCCGCGCTCACGGTTTATACGAAATCCCTCTCATTTTCTCTGAATTTCTGAGTCTCCCACATCGTTTATTGCTACATTCAACGTATCCAAGTCTCTAAGTGTCTGCACGTTGGTCGTTTGAGGTTAGTTTGTTGTCCACGTAATTTTTTTGTTTTTTTTTTGCTATTTGTTTTTCTGGAACGACCCGTTCTCCTTGCAGAAAGGGTCGTTCCCCTTGTAGAACGGGCCGTTCTCCTTGCAGAACGGGCCGTTCTCCAAGGAGAACGGGCCGTTCTCCTAGAAGAATGGGCCGTTCTCCTAGCAGAACGGGCCGTTCTGCTTAAATTGTACCATAGAATTTCTCTCAACGGTGAACAGTTTATCTCTTATTCCCCCAATTATTTCAAATAAAAAAAGTTAGAGCTAACTAGCTAAGCATAAAATAAATTTGTAAATCATCGATTTATACGTCAAATATTAATTATTTTTAATGAAAATTTGTTGAAATAATATAAATAAAAATTATTCATACGCTTTTTCTTGATAAATTAAAGTTTTTAATTAATTACTGTCGTTACCAATATTGCAGGCGACAATTATCTCTTAGTTAATACTCTTTTGTTGTTAGAAGTCAAATTAAACTTTAATGCTACCCCACCTCGCTCTGGTGGTCCATTCTGGAATCACACTGTTCTTATCTTACCGTAACAAAACAAAAGCATGATTTATTTTTCTTGAAGAAGGTAGATCGAGGAGTTTTAGAACAATATGTCATTATCATTTATCATTTTATTAATTTTGTGTTAAAGAGGGCCCAAAATGCCCAAAACTACGATCTACGGGCATGAAAAAACCCCACCATGTCCCTCAGAGCCAATTAACTTTTCTTTTATTAATGTCGGTCTCTAAATCTCATTTCAAGTAATTAACAATTATTTTTTATTGGTATAATAAAATTATATTTATAAATAAATTTTATTATATAAAATATTTTTAAAAAATTGGTAAAAATCACATGTATGTTTTATTAAAAAAAAAATTACAGAAAACAAACCAGAGATAATTATTATAAACTACACAATTCTCTCTCTTAATAATTAATAGAATTATACACTCGTGAACAAGCTTTCACCAAGTTGATCCATTCAATATGTCGTTGTATGATTTTCATTTTTAATTACTTTAAATCAATCCTAAAAACTAATGATGACAAAATTGATTAAAAACAAGCCCCAAATAATACCATCTTCAAGCCTCATAAATAAAAAATAAATTAATAAAAAAAACTTAATTACACTTTTTCTCATTCAATTTAATCTGTGAAAATTTTCTGTTCACATATTTGTTAAACAAAATTACAATTTTACTCGTACCATGAACTTACCACCCAAATTTTAATATGTGGGAATATTGTAATTCTAATGGAAGGAATTTTTTATTAGTTGAAAATTTTGTTTAACACAAGCATTTGTTGCGATGTTGTTTATTTTTTTTAACGCTTCAAATTATTTAATACTAAAATACAAGTCAAAATATTTAATAGAAAATTATTCCATAAAATTTAATAATAAACTAGCATATTATATAAAAATCAAACTTTATTTAATATTTTAATAATTTAATTTGTTATTTAGATCTTAATATATTTTTCAAAAAAAATTCCATGTAGATATAAGTTTATATGCTTTTATGAGAGTTCTTCTCTTTTAATAGAAAAACTTTTAAAAATATTTTTAAAGTTATAAGGTAGTTTGATATTTTGGAAAAAAAGACATAAGACTAAAGTCATAAAATTAAATAAATTTAGATCCTCTCACTAACATACAACTGATTACTAACATTTGGCTAATAAAAAAAATACTTCTAAACTTTTGTTTGGAAAAACTCACAATCACCTTAATTATTATTTCAACTTATATATGGAGCTTATATATAAGCACATATAATTATTTTTATACATTTTAAAAAAATTATTAAATAAATTTAATTTTTATAATTTTACATGTGACACCTTCTATACCACATATCATAATATATAATATATTAAATAATTGAATAGCCTCAAATTCAAAACTTAAACAAATAGAAATAATCATATTTTAACATAAATTAGATTTAACATAAATAATAAATTACAATGAAAATAAAAATCAAACTACTCAAATTAAATAGCATGAATCAAATCTTAATTAATTATAATTAATTCCTTGGTGTCATGTGTTCTATCAGAGCAAAACTCAACATTGAGGTCTAGGCCTCATCATTAATATCCTTAGCATCATATTCATGATTACTTGTAACAGCCACAAGAAAACAATACAAAAGAAAAGGGAGTGAGAAACATCTCACTTTGACTCACGATGCAGGAATGCAAAACGACTAGCCAAACAGAAACAACACATGTAATAAGATCTAACATATCTTGTTACACCTCATCATGTTTAACTCATTCATAGCATAATAAGCAACAACAAATAAGATCATAATGCATATGCAATGGATACAGGCTACATGTTATCATGCATGTGACGTCAGTAAAACATCACTTGTGCATTGCCACTAGCAACACACTAGAGTGGTTTAGGAATACATGTCAGATCACACTCTTTGTACACTCTCACTAGAAGGACATGTTACCAAGGTCTAGTCAAGATAGTTAAGTCATACAAGATACATCACATGCTCATGAGGATATGACTAGGACTTCCAAACCAAGTTATCCTAAGGTTGGTTCCCAAGCTTTTACACAAGGGACCTTCCCTAATAGTGTATTTTATATCGTATCCTTTTAAAAATATTTTTATACATATGATGCATGTCAATCAAATTCAATGCATTACATTCACTTTACAATCACTAGAAGGACATACTACTAGGGTTTGGTTAAGATAGTTAATTCACACAAGATATATTTCATGCTCATGAGGGTAGGATTGAGACTTCCAAATTGAGTTATCCCTAAGATTGGTTCCCAAGCTTTTACAAAAAGGACCTTCACTAGCGGTATATTCCATATTGTACCCTTTCAAAAATATTTTTATGCATGTTTATAAATGGGTAAAAAATTATCCGTCCCCATTATCCGCGGGTACCCAATTAGCCTATCCATTTATTATCCGTAGCGGATTTTACCCACAGATACCCGCGTGTGCAGATATTTTTGTCATCCCTACTTGTGATGCTTTACTTCCATCGAGCGTGAGCTGACTCTCGCTGGACATGGACATTCTAGAGAGCTTTTGGTGGTGTTCTCGTTGAGCATAAACTCGGTCACGTTGGGCACAATTTAGACAAAGGCTACTGTGGTCCTTTGGAGGACTCGTGTTGGGCATGGGGCGTGTGCCGCTAAGTGTCATTCTACTTGCAATTCTTATATTGTTCTACTATTTGATCCTATGTTGCAACTCTTGTAATGTGATGTTAATGTAATATGAATTGACATTGAGATATGAACATATGACTATGTATGAGAAGTAATGTGATATGAGGAAAATGTTAAATGTAAAACTATGAGGTCGTGTGAATATAATGCATTGAGTTTGATTGACATGCATCATATGCATAAAAATATTTTTGAAAGGGTACAATATGGAATATACCGCTAGTGAAGGTCCTTTTTGTAAAAGCTTGGGAACCAATCTTAGGGATAACTCAATTTGGAAGTCTCAATCCTACCCTCATGAGCATGAAATATATCTTGTGTGAATTAACTATCTTAACCAAACCCTAGTAGTATGTCCTTCTAGTGATTGTAAAGTGAATGTAATGCATTGAATTTGATTGACATGCATCATATGTATAAAAATATTTTTAAAAGGATACGATATAAAATACACTATTGTAAAAGGCTCAAAATAGGCGATGTAAAAGACCCTTTGTGTACTAGTGTTTAATTTATTTATCTTTAAAGAATTTTTTGTTTTGTTTTAATATCAAGAAATAAAGTAATAAGATAGAGTAGATCTCATTAAATAAGTCATATTTCTCCTAATAATTCATAAAGAGAAACGTTAATGACATATACATAATTTTTTAATGAATTTATTAGTTAAAATTTATAATTTTTTTTTGATAGATCTATTCTTTATTTAAGGATTCTTTTTAAAAATTACAAATTTGATAAATATACTCTTTATTCAATGGTTCTTTCTCATGATTGAGTAGTTTCCTATAAATTTTAACTAACTAATAATATTGGAGCGTATTAGGAGTGAGTGAGTGACAATACTTCTCTAATTCGTAAATTTGTTTTTTTATCGGCTAATTCATAATTTTTCTTTTGTAGGTTTTTCATGAATTTCTCGTTATTACCAAAAGTTAAATCGTTGGTTTAAACTTTAAAAGAGAGAGGAACAATGCCTTTTTCTTGGTCAACTAGAGTAAAGAGGACTAGTTTAGCTGATAAGTGCAACAATAAAAATCAACGGTTAGAGTTACAAAACAATGTCCCAAACATGAACCTTCCCTTCTCTTTTCCCCCCGAATCATTTGCCTCTAAAGCCGCCTTACACCTTCCCCGATGCTACTATTCCAATATTAGAATTGTTCCAAACAATAACATCCCCACATAAACCAACGTGCCACCATGCCATTGCCACTGCCAAACTCCTTTCTTTATAGCTACACAACTAACAACATTGCCGCGCTGGCTCCTTCCCTTCCTTAATTTCCACAACAATCCACCTGAAATTTCTTATTACTATATATATATTTATACTTTATTTGTTTGTTTCCTAAATTTCACACAACACTCCCTATTTCCCCTGCTTGTAGCAACGAGGCGATATATAATATGTCGTTATATATATTATTTAATTGAATTCCTTTCCTTCTTCATACTCCATACATCCTCGCTCCCAACACAATATTATGGAGCGAAAGGATGAAAACTCAATGATTCTTAGCATCGGCCAAAAACCAATGCCAATTACCCCTCATGATACTAATGATAATGATAATAATAAAACCACTCCTTCCCTCAAGAAGGGTAAGCGGTCCAAGAACATTTTCAAGGTGGCATTGTTCATGATGCGAGGGCGTTCGCGAAAAGCCAAAGCGCTCGCTGTGGATGACGAATCCAAGAGCATGTGGAGGAAGATCGTGGGGTCCATGAGGCCATTGCACCTACAAAGCATGCATTCTCCAACGCGCGATAACAACAACAACAACAACAATATTATTCCTCAACCTAATAAAAAGATGATTACCTTACCGCTGTCCGAAAACGGCGACGAGGGGTTTGATTCTGCGTCGGAGTTTGTGAACTCGCCGTCTCCGTCTAGTAGCCGTTACGCCTCCGCGGTTGGGCTGAACGAAATGGTGCAAGAGGAGGAGGAGAAGGTGGAAGAGGTTGGTGTTGAGAAGGAGAATGATGATGATATTGATGCGAAGGCTGAGGAGTTCATTGCTCAGTTTTACCACGAAATGAGGTTGCAGCGCTTGGATGTCATGGATCGTCATTACAAAGAGATAAGCATGAGGTCATTAGGCTTATACGATGGTGAACCATGATCTGCTTTAACCTCTGTCATACGTGCTTCCATCAAATATTGCACCCTATGCATGCATGCATGCATGCGCCAGAATTTCCTTTTTGCTTTCCTAGCCTTTCCTTTTCTCCAGTTTCTTTTTGCTAGAACTACCCTTCTTTAAACCTAGAAGAGGTGTATACTTATACATTCATATATATGTATAAAGTGGTCCTAGCGGCGGACGAGGTTTCTCGCCCACAGTGATCCTATAAATTTGTCTATGCTCTATAAAATAAAAGTGTTTAGACTTTAAAGAAGAATTAAAAAAGTTAAAGCTGATATTTGATATAAATTAGATTGAACTAACAAAACTTACAACCAGCTAATTAATAACAAACATATGAGCTATATATATAGCCTTATTGTGATGTTGGGGAGGAGAATTAATGAAGTTAAATGATTACTGTTTCTTCTAAGATTTCAATAAATTCCTTTTGGAGAATTTATCACAAATTTTTTACGCTTTCTTACCTTTTTAATTTTGTTTGTGTTGATTCAATTTTTTTTAATTAAATAGTATTTTTCGTTGAATAGGTTGACAATTTCTTTCAAAAAGTTTGAATATATTTGTCTCAATCAATTGTTGATGGATGATTGAGGTTGTGAGCGTTGTTTTATCCATAAAAATTAAATTCCATATCTTTCTAACAATTAACATACATTACTCAATCGATTTAAACCTTGTAGTGTGAGTTGCTATTGTGAGCATGATTTGTTTGCTCACTTTTCAATTTTCATCTCAAAGTATTGCTTGTTCCCCCATATGCGCTAATTAATCTTAAACCGGATTTAATTGTACTTTTATCAAATGAGATCCGACATAACAATAAGGTTAATTTATCTCGCCATGGCCACAAGTTCACGTGCTTTTATTTTATATTCTAAACTTTTTCTAAAAGACGAGAAAATGTTTCGAAATTTCACAACACAAATAAATTTATTTACATAGAGCTCAATTTATCAATTGAGTCAAACCTTGTTGTAAAACAACAACTGAGAACCTCAAACCCACACACATGTCCCCATTCATAACATCAAATTCGCGCAACCACATACACCACGATATTTTCAAATCCCACTTTAATGAATAAAGTCACGTTTATATTCAAATGATGAAAGAACCCTAATGAAAGAAGAAATGGGATTTCACGGCTTCAAATTCAAAATTTCTGTCACGAAAACTAAATGGGTATAATTTGTTGACACAAGCAGAAAAGCAATCAAGCCCAATGTATAAGCCACAAAATAAAAAATGACTTACAGAAAAAAAAAATTTGAAGTGTACGACTAGTATGGGCCAAGGCCCACATAAGATTGGGCTAATAGCCATGGACGATCCGAGAACAGGTATCTTTGATCCATCGGATCCCATTTCGGAGCGAGGCCTTAACCTTGCCCTCCACCGCGTAAACCTTATACCTCGCAATCCTCTTTCTCCGCTTTGTCTCCGGGTCACCGAAACTCCAAGGCTTCGCCGCCGTGGCTGCCCCGCTCTGGCTCGCCCGAGTCACCTCACTCGAAATCGCCGCCGCGTGGCTCTGATTACAACCGTAGCTTTTTCCGCTCACTATCTCAACCCGGCGCGGACCCGACCCGTAACCCATTGACTCTAAAAATGTTTCAAGTTAGGGTTTTAAGAAGGAGTTGAAGTCTGAAAATGAAAATGTATGTGTGATGCGTGTAAATATAGATATATATAAGCAGTGAATCACGGCGAGGAATGTGCAATGTTTTAGGTCTCTTGGTTGGGAATCTGGAATGGGGCTTTCGCTTATTAAACAAATAAATATAAAAATGTAACCTCTTTTATTATTATTGAAACCTGAAAGAATTTAGACTTAAAGAGAGACGAATCAATTTTCTAATGCTTGTGGAAGGGGCATTGCTTTTTCCTGCTTATGATGATAATACTAGAGACGATTAATTATTTTTTTTTTCCTATTATGTGGATGTCATCTTTTGGGCATAGAGAAGTGCATGCTTTATAGTTTGGAGGGGAAAAGAGAGACAGAGAAAGAGAAAGTGGAAGAGGTCTTATGATTGTATTGGAGGTTGGGCAAGTTTTGTGTAGACAGCCAAGAGGAACTGGAAAGTGGAAAATGGAAATTATGATGAGGAGGTGCAATGATAAGTTCAAATGGGGGATTTGGAAGAGAAAATGAATGGAAGAATTCAAAGCTACAAATTAGTTAATATTCTAAGAATAATGAATATTCCTTTCTTTCGCTTTCTAATTCTACTAGGGTGTTTGGTTATCGTGTAAAATCTTAAAAAAACAACTTGGGTTTGCACATTTCAAGGCTAGTGTATCATTGAACAAAACTTTGGTTCAACTCTTTTCAAAAACACTATATTAGATCAAACTTTGGTATAACTGAGCCGTTCATTGGATTTGTTTAAAGTTGAAGACGACGAAATTGAGCAGACTAAATAAACACGGGAATGGATCTCTCTTTGCTACGATTTTATCGTATATTCTTTTAAATTTATTTTTTTGAGATAAAAATATATTATTTATATTAATCAATTTTATTAAAAGATTAAAATATTATATAGTGAGGGAATGGTACACTTTTAATTAATTCATAATATTATTAATATACTATTTTCAAAATATTTATAATAATTATATAATAACATATAAATATCATATAATGAATAAATAATGTTAAATATTCTAAATAATACGCATATATAGATTAACGAATTCTTATTATTAAATAAAACGTTGACTTAATAATTAATTTATATCTAATATAATTTATTAAAAGACACATTAATATCACAATGAAATTTAAGTATTTTTATTCTGTAATAAAAATATTACAAAAAAGAATTTGTATGTTTTTTTTTTAAATTTTAATGATATCTCTAATCAATAAATTTTATAAAAGTTTAAATTATATAAAAATAAAAAATAATTTAACTTCAATTAATCATATTACAATATTAAAAAATAGATCATTTCCTCAACTATATGTTAAATACACCATATTATAGTCTAATGTGATAATATATTAACTATTTAGAATTAACTATATCTTATAACTAGATATTGATGAGATCACTTTTATCTTATTTGAATTAATGTTTATTTTTACTCTTTTGTAACATCATTAAAATGAAGTCTGGTATTCATGCCCCTTCCACACTAACCCAATAACCTTCCTTTTATCTCTTAAAACTTTTAAAATAGAGAGATATTTATCGAATTAATACTATAACAATATAAACATATGTAAACAAATATAATTAAAATGATACCTTATAGTTTAATACATTAAATTAGTATATTAATATTTGGAAATGTAAAGAAAATATTTGTTGTCACATAGACAGTTGACAACATCAATAAAAAACATTTTTATGGAAATATGAAACTAATAAATTAAAATTATCAATATTAGGAAATTTGTATTATACATTTGTTATCTATTTTTTTTTCCTTTAATATAATATCTCTCCTTTTGAGATAATGACTTAGATTAATGTACTTGATTGAATAATAATGCATGATGAATCTTCTAGATATTGTGTTTGGATGAAATTGATATTATGAGTTGTCAATTGTAATCATTTTAGTTCTGTCAAGATGACTCATTTTATTTAAAGTTATTTTTTACAAATATGTATCTTAATGTAAATTATATATACTTTCAAAGAATTATAAACAATAAAGTATAACTCTCTAATTGTGAATTGAATAATTAAGCTATATATTTTGTTTTTAGAGAGGAAGAGTCAATTAGAATGAGTATCTCAATTCAAATATTTTTACTTTCAATAACTTCAAGTACCTTTTTTCAATTATACTTTTTTTTAATAAATAAATTTTTAATCCCATGGAAACAACTCTTACTATCTATGGTTTTATTTGCTCAGGCATAAGTACAATTGTGCCAATTAGTACAAAAGAAGACCCTCTCAAAAATCAAAACTAATGCAAACATGATCCAACTAAAATTTAAAGCTTCTCCAAGTTTTGGCTCATATAATAGATAAACAAATAAGGGAGAGCAACACAACATTAAAACATGGGCAATGTGACCTACAAAACATGTCTAAGCATTGAGTTTTGTTATCAATTAAGTGTAAGTAATATATGTAATTTTGTAGCCTTTTGATGGCTGAACTTGAATGGTTTCTACACTTGTGATTGTGGGACATCAACTTCATACATTAATTTTACAATATTTGGACTAAAATATAAAAATATAATTCTCCAATATGATAGTTGAATTGATTTGAAAGGAAATATTGTCATGTAACTAGATAGTATACCTAATTGAACCTTTTATTATCATCCAAGACTACACATTACTTGCACAAACATGATGTTCCTCTCGTATTTCATATATGTATATTTCACTTAAACTTTAATTTATTCTAATCATTTAAATTGTCTTTGAAAATCTAAAAAAAATGTGAAACTTTAGAATATGATATATAAGTAAGACTTTAGAACATAAATAATTTAAATCTTATCTTTCGTAAAATATACTGGTTGACTCATGTTAGCCCATGGTATGAGTTTGAAGTAAAGAAATATATACAAAAAATTAAAAATAAAATAATATTAATTTATAAATTAGAAAAAGAAAACTTAAATTAATTTAATAGAAGCACCAACCTTTTGCAAGATTAGTTTGCTTTAGTAGAGATTTTTGTGATAAATAAATATATGAGAAAACATCCCACCATGTGATCTAGCTGGGTAAGTTGGTGGAAATAAAAGGGTATATTGCTTATGACACACTCTACTTCACATATCATAATACTTAAAATAAATAAAACTGAATCAAGATGTTTATCATAATGAAAACCCATCGTGTTCAACATAGAGAGTATCACATTTTAATAAAATAAAACCAACTAATACCCAAATGAAATCTAATACATTAAAATGACCATTGTCCAAAACATAACCAAAGAAACACTAATTCTAACTAAGCCCCGATAACCCCGATATAACATCCTATTAGAGCATAAACCTAATTGCAAGGATTAGGCCACACTTGCAACATCCTCGATCTCATGATGTAAATCATCTGTAAAAACATACAATAGAGACAAATACAAAACAAGGAGAGTGAAAAATATCTCACTTTGGCTCACAACATAAAATATAGTTAGATAGTCAAACACAAGTAAAGAGACAAGAATATAAATCGAGTTATATGTTGACCTCAAGAGCTAATTCTATCATCTATTATTTAAAAAA